GGTTGTGGCATCATCTCACATCATCGTTTCTGGCTTCCCGACAGATGATAAGACATAAAACCGCCTGCGAGGCACCCACATGGCCCTTTAGGACGGACAACGTGGGGATAACCCCCAAAGTTTGGTCCCCACTTCGCTAAAGTGCCTGCGCCCTCAGCAAGGACAAGCTGAGATAACCAGAGGAAAACCCAGCTCAACATCAGCACAGCAAAACACATGGAATTAAAAGATTTCGGTTCAGGTTTTGGTTTGGTTTTGGTTTTTTTTGGTGTGTGTTTTTTCTTTTTTTTTTTTTTTTCTTTTTCTTTTAAATCGGCTTTATTTTTCTAACTGTTATTTCAATTTCCCATAGCACCTTGGCAATGTCAAAAACAAATACAAATACATGTATTATCATTTGAACATTTAAAGCATGAACCTACTTTACACAAATTTTGTTTTGGACAGTTTTGACAACAGGAAGATACCAGAACAGACAAAGTAGAGAAGCCAGATAAGTTGCTTTTCTTTTGTTCTCCTTTCACTGAAGCCCTACCACTTTGAAGAGAGAGATCATAAATGCCAAGGGGAAGCTGGATTCATCCGGGAGGAACGAGATGTCTGTAGTAACTCGAGCTCAATATATTATCTGAATATTTTGTATTCTATAAAAATTAGAACAAAAAACCATTTATGCACAGTCTGTTTACATTTGAAGTTGCTTTTTTTTTTCTTCTTCTTTTTTTTTTTGGAAACTGTATCCATAACTGAAGCTCCATAAAAATAAACCTCTGGTTCTTAAATATAAAACTTTAAAGTTGTTACAGGTTAGTTTTGCAGATGGATTTTTCTTTTTCAGAAATAAGTTGCTTTAACTCCATTTCAAGTCCTCCCAACTGTACATTAAAACAGGCTCAATTAACTTCTTGAAGTGCCTCTGCTAAAGGCACTTAAAGAGCCAACTAAAATCCTACAACAAACCCAAATTATGTACCATCCTAAAGGAAGCTCAGACTATATGTAGTATATACACACAAAAAAGAGCATGATAAATCACTCAGATTAATGGCAACAATCTTAATGTTTCAAGAAGGAAATATCAAAATTAGAAACAAACAAAAAAAAATTCTATTGCATATCTGTAGTACTCAAGGATTTACAAAAAAACTGATCCGAAGCAATTTTCCCCCCGAAGTGCATTTCTGTTGCATCGTCTGTAACACAACGGCGCATTTTACAAGTTTAAAATATCATCATCTGTACATAGCAGATATTCTACCCCAGGTGAACATTCACTCGGGTTAACAGTAAAAATAGCAGACATTTTCAAGACAATTAAGCTGATATTGACAAAGTAGTAAGGCCATAGCTATTTAACTACAGTAAAGCATTGATTAAGTCACTTATTTGCTACTGATCTGCCACAGTATCATCTTTCTTTTCTGGTTAATAGAGTGGGTTACTTATTTTTTTGCCTTTTTTTATTCTTTTTTTCTCTTTTTAACCTACTGCTAAAACTGCACCATCGTACTGTGCCAGGCTAACTCTTTTTGTATGAGTTTTAAAAGACAAAACAAATTTTTTTTATGTAAGATACTAGAAAACTAACTTAATTTTAGAAGTCAAAAGAAATAAACCCCAAACTTTTTGCACTTTTAATTTTCCTATCACATGCAAACAATTAAGCTTCTCTTTTCACTCCCCAGCAGAAGGACAAGAGAGTGGCCCAATCTCTTCCCCGCACAGTAATTTGGAGAAGAACTTAACTGGGGAACTATACTTCTGTAGCTAACAAAAATCAACAATGCTGAAACCAAGTCACAGCTCCGAAAACTGAAAGTTACGTGGGATTTGCACCTTCTGGTAGTTAGTATCAGCAGAGTAGGAAAATTTGTCTTTACACCCTGTGGTAAACTCCCAAGAAGGAACCACAGAGAACTGTTACTTGTCACGTCAAGTGCGCACCGCACGTGGCTGCCGAACAAGGGACAGTTTCACCTCTGCTGAGAAAATGATCCAGCTCCAAGGACACGAGGAGCTGTGCTGGCAGTCAGTCTGGCTCCCAAAGGATGGCTCTGTCCCCGCATCCCCCACTCTGCCACAACGGGCAGACACAGGTAGAGAGACACAAGGACTTGCCCGTGTGCCCAGCGGGGAGGAAAACGTAGCAGCTAGCCCGTCTAGGTTATATGTTTGCCATGCAATACAAGTACTGCAGGAGAACTTGCACACAGAACTATGGTTTTCACAGCCTTTATATTTACTTGTTCCCCCCACACACACACACATGAAAGAATAGAAAGGAAAGAAAACAAACCCACAGTTATCAATGGCACTGGGGGAGAAAGGGAAACGCTAAAGTTAAATCTTTCCACGCAGGTATTAAATAAATAATCATGAATGTCCTAATCAAAGTTTGACTATGCTGGAAAAAGCCAACAGGTTTACAGACTTATTTGCATACACTGTACAAGAGCCATGATCTGCTGCTGGAAAACGCACACCCAGGACATACAAAGCATCCTTTCCATGGTCAAGTTTTTCCAATCACCTCACAAAACCAAGATTGAACTGCAGCTGGGGTTCTTCCCCCCCATATCTAATAAATGAAGAAGTTACATTTCACAATTCTTAACAACTCAGATACTTTCAGCACTACACAGTTATTCTATGCACTGCCCTGGAAGCGGATGCCTGCATGGATCAGGATTAGCTCACTGCCTTCACCACAGAGGCTGGAGAGCGAGATCTGCACAAGCCTCTTCCCAAAGAGGAGCTCCTCAGAGCAGCAAACAGCTCACAGCAGCTGTTGGTATCCCAACATTTCCTCCAATTTGCCATGACAGTGCCTATCTACCCCAAATATCTGCGACTATCATACAGCTTTGTTTTTCCAGTTTGACTGCAGTAATTCTTTATAGCCTTTAAGATGATGAAAAATTAACGTTGAATTCATTACGTTTCAGAACTTGGAACCCTTTTAAGTATTTCAACTCCTCTGTCATTCCAACAGATGCAGCATTATTGAGATAAATGGTGAAGGGTTCTTAAGCATCCCTAAACTGTAGACATGATCAAGGATTTCTTTTTCTAAATCAAAAAAAAAAAAACCCTCCCAAACCCAGTACAGGTAGTTTCAAAGTGAATAATGATTTTGGGGTTCATATATATATATATATATATATGTATGTGTATATATATAACATGCGTAGAAATGAACAGTTAACTGCATAAATACATTATATCGTGTTATGAATCAAATCAAAGCAATTGCCAAGCTGAATAATAAGTTAGAGAAATGACAACTCTGGCTTTATATATATATTTATAAAAATAGATATGAGTGTTCTCAAAGCAGTTGATAGAGAATGCCTACTGAGTAAGAAGTCGCCAAGGATTATCTGGCTAAGAAATCAGAAGATGAAAAGTCTTCACAGTTATTTGAACTGCCACTTACATTCATTCTAATGGCAACACTAATATATTACTAAGATGTTTATGGTATATATCACAACTGAGTTTTCCAGTGTTCACAACTTACGACTTTAAATTTGTACACTTGCTATTCACTAAAAAAATAAAAATTAAGAAAAGAAAGAGAAAACCCAAAAAGGTGTGATTCTTACTGCTGGAAGCTACTTCTCCTTAACACTTTATACAGAACTTTGAACCCTGGCATGCTGATTTTGGCAGATTAATGCACTGAAGTTTTCTATTTCGGTCGTTATGGTAATCACCCTGAAACTTAACCACTTACTGCACAATAGTGTTGCAAATTTAGTCGGCATACAGCTAGGCAAGACACTACATTTCAAGCAGCTTCTCTGAACATGAGGGTGTTTCTTTAACTCTTTACCTCTAGTTCCACGTTAAACAGTTAAAAAGTCAGTTGCTACTACATCAGCTGTAAACAGTGAGTTCCCAGTCCATACAAACCCTGATTTCTAGCATACAGCATCCAATACCCTACTCCAGAACACAAATCATACAATGGTTTGGAAGGGACCTTAAAGATCATCCAGTTCCAACCCCCTGCCACGGAGAGGCTGCCAGTATATACACTGACATGCCTGTCAGCGTACAGGAAACCCAGCCACGTCTCCAGTTTGCTGGCCAAAAAGACAGCAGTCTAACCCTGGTGGGACAGGCAGAGCTCTGCGCCCACAGTTCCCACCTGCAAGGCAGAATTCCACATCTGCAACTGGAATCCCAGACTCTCCACTCGTGAAGCCAACATCAAGTACTGCATAGCCACTGTGGGCCTGCCTCAGGAAAACATACCAAGATAAATGCACAAAAAGTCTGTAATAAAGAGATCAGAGAAAGTAACAAGCAAGGAAAAACAAAACCCAACAACCCCAAACCTAAGAAATTGCCTTCAAAAGGAGGCAAGGAAAAAGGGCAAAATGAAAAATTCCAACGTGCTCCCTTTTGCCTCCTTCTGAAGACAAGTTTTGCTGTCCAGGTGCTCTAAGCTACAATCCAGTATCCTGAAAATTATAGTTTAAAAAGCTTGTGAATGAATTATTAGTAAGGTCAAGAGACTCTACTTCAAGCTGGAAACACAAGGTTTACTACAGTAGTACATTCAGTTTGTATCATCAGTGACTAAGTCATGACAACAGTATCTGGCTGCAGTCACTCCACTCACACCGACCAAGCACCTCAGCTGCAGATGTGCTCTGCAATGCAAGGCCATCAAGGGCAGACACATCAGCCCAAAAGCCAAATGTTAAATAGGTTAAAAAAAGTTCTAATTTTACAGAAATGCTAAATTTTTCAAAAATAATATTCTCTTATACTTTTCCTCCTACACCGAGGGACAGGTTAATTTGTCAATTCATATCCTTTCGCTTTGTCAAAATGCTACTCTCACAACCCCCAAACTGATTTCAAGCAGGAAACCCTCTGCAAATTAAAAACAAAAAAATACAAAAATTATAATCTCTATATTTATATTGATTGGAATCCTCCAGCATTTGTGAAATCACTTTGAGAGATGAATTTTGGGACCCTCCCCAACTTCTCCACACAAGCCATGCTTCAAGTTCAGTATTCCCCTTCACGAATACTTCTTCCTCACAGTCTCCTTTGCTGCTCATTTGTCCACAGCTCAAATTAAAGAGAGAAGTAATTGGCTGGCCAAGTGTTACTTTGGTGAGCGGGGTGGCACGTACTGCTCCTTGCCGACACGTCGAGGTGCTCCCTGAGGCGATGATCTGCGTCCAAATTGGCGCCTCTGTTCCCTGATTTTCCCAGCAGCTCCCCTGGGAGGCCCGTTGCCTCGGAACCCAGAATAATCCTTCATCCGACCTTCAGCCTTGTCAGGAACCTTCTCCAAAGCCTTCTCGGGTGTACCATTGTCTTCATTTTTGGCAGGCGGAACGATGTTGGTGCGATGTTCCCGAAGAGGCTGAACAGGAACTGGAGGAGGCTCCTTTGGAGGCTTCTGGCAAACTTCAGCGTAACTTAGCTTGCGTGGCTCCTTTGGGATGAAGGGAGAAGAGCAAGGTTGATGTACCAGCACAACCACGCTGTGCTCTTCCACACCATCCCAGGCACAACAGCAGGAACATGTACAGGGAGCCATTACACCAAAAGCTGTGGCAAATTCCACATGAGAAGGTCCCAGGCACCACCCAAGAGAAAGGTCCCCTCATTCCCCACCCGCTCCCTACTCTGGGCCTCACCTGCATCAACAAAGTAGGAGCTGCACTTGCATTAGCAGAAGGTGAAGTGGTATTTGTCCTTGGTGGCTTTGCAGCACTGGTAGGAGACACAGACACGGGTGGGGAAGCGTGGCTTGTGACTTCTTTCTGAGCAGACACTTCTTCTGGTTTGCTCTCTGGCTGAACCGTGCTGTAACATCAAGAACAATTTAGCATTAAAACCTATTAACACAGAAATTAATGTTTGAGAAAGCATCTTCTTTCTTTGAAGTCACAACTGCAGGGTTTTACGGCCATTACCACCATTTGTTATTTCCATCTAGTGGCCTCTAGAGAAGCTGCCTACCTCAGAGGCAGAAGAAACAACAACGTTATGTGCTAAGAACATGCAAATTATAATATCCTTAAGTGATCTCCATACCTTAAGACCACAGCTTCAGTCTGACTTGGTGAACTCACACTTGTCACAGGCTGTTGGACAGTGCTGTGCGTCTCTTCTTCCTGAGCAGGAGCTGGAGAGCTGGGCAGCAAATCTTTGCTTTCCTGCACAGAAAGTGTAAATTGCAAAAGATTGAAAGATCACAATATGCTTACACTGCTCCTCAGCACGTCAGTTCAAGACATCTCAGAAGAGCACTGTTTCCAAAGGCTGCTCAAGTCCTGGTTATAGGAATTTTACTTCTTTTAGGACATTGCCTCTAAAGCCAGCTCCCTTTATAGGGGCAAAGCAAATAGGTTAACTATTAGATTAACAAGCATAGGACAATGTTTAGGATTAGAGCATTCTAATGTCAGCTCTAAAACTGATTCTTTAAGCAGGGAAGAGGGGAGAGGCAGCACATGCACCTCACTGTGCACGGGCCAGAGAAGAGCAGGTACCTTTTCTTTGCAGACCCCTTTAACGATATCGGACATCCTGCTCTCCAGCACAGGCTCTCCTGGTATTTTTGCTGTGCTGCCAGGCAAAGGTGGGAAATTTGATGCTAGCAAATCAAACTTTGGTGTCTGAGTCTTTGTTTCTGCTGAAGGCTGAGGTCTCTAGAGAAGGAAAATACCCGTTAATACAGCTGTAACACCAAAAGCACTGAGTGTCAGGGCATTTCCTCACTGCAAACCCACACTGGAGTCTGGGAATTGAAGGACTACACCATTCCTTCCATCAATGCAAAGCCAACACACTGCACTGTGTGCAACTCCTTGCAACAAGGGAAGTGGAACTTACTGAAACCCGGTCGTCTTCTCGTCTCCTCCGACCTCTGAAAACGTTCCTCCTTTAAAGGGAAAGCAAAGTCAGTCAGTGCATTCATCCAGCTGAAGTGCACATTCATCTGCACAAAGGGGAGCCTGTGGCAGGGGATTTACAGTAGCCTACTGATGTTTCTCAAGATACAATTCTGGGATGTTCTCCATCTTCTGGAGGAGTTAAAGCTCTTACGCTCTTGGAACACAGCCAATACAGGAAACAAGTTCTCTTTTCTCTCCCCATGAAGGAGGTACCCTACAGCATTGTACCTCAACCAAGTGACAATTAGACTGTATTATTACAGAAGAGTATCCTATAATTTCACAGAAATCATCTGATTTCTCACATATCTGTCTTGGTCACTTATTTTTAAGTGTCTATACCCTGATTTACCAGACAGAAGAAAAAAAACAGTTAACCTTAAAATGTTTAGGAGCATTAAATTCCCCAAATAAGGATTTGCTTCTTATTTACAGCAACACAGGTACCAACTGCTTTAATGAAGGGGACAAACCAGGCACTTATTCTGAAATAAAGATACCTCACTGCAAGGTGCTGGTCAGAATAACTAAGAGCTGCCCAGTCAAGCAGGAAGCACCCGTGTGCCCAGGTAAATGTTTATCACACCTGGTTTGTTTAAACACCAGTTTTCTCATCAGTCTTCATAGAAATACATATTGTGCCAATGGTTGGTGATCCTTGACTAACACGTCACCTGAACCTGCAGCACCATGTCCCTTATTGTGTTACAGCAAAAAGCAGCACGCCCAGCTCTTTACCTGCCCCTGCCAATGCCATAATCGCCGTTCTGCTCCATCTGCGCAGCAGGAGAATCCTTCTGGGAATAACCTTGGTCTTGGTGGCCAGTTAACATACTGTTATGTCGCTCCATGACAAAACTCCTTGAGTTGGTTCTGTTCAGTGCTCCATCCCCCATGGGCATGGTACCGACAGCAGCTGGACCCTCCGCAGCGTGTTCCAAGCTGCTGGATGATCGGAAGTGGGGCTTCACGCTGCAGGACACAGACCAGCACCTCAGTCAGCCAGAGGTTAAACAAGAAGATGCAAAACTACCACCAACAGTGAATTCATTGCTGATAAAGGAGGTCAGTAAGTACTGTTCGTTCTTACCTCCATCTACGCCTTTTGTTACTGTTTTCTTGCACCCTCCTCTCCTCTAAAGTGCTGCCATTTGAAGAAAACACCGAAATCGCTGCCCACAAGATTTCAGAGAGGGGGACACCCCAAAAAAACCCACCCAAAGGCTAGGAGAGGTAGAAGAGCCAGAAGAACCCAAAGAGGGATTCTTCCTTTGTCTGGGACTGCAGCATGGGGCATTGGAAGTGACCTGGAGAAATAAGTCAACCCTGAGGAACAAACTGATCCAGCCACGAGCAACAAAACTGAACTGAAACAAGAACTGCTGTTCTGCAGTTCAAGAGACGTGCTGAACAAAGATTAATTCAAGCAGCATTAAGAACCCAGTTTTAAGGCCCTGGTACAGTTAAGTTTTCCTCAGCAGAGACCACAAGGAGGAGGTAAGTGAACTAAATTCTTCCATTTGGTTCAATTTGTTCTTAAAACTGGAAGATCCTCAAGTGATTTTTCAGCCCTCAGATCTCATAATCTTACCCGTCATTGAGAAGGCCACAGTCTTGTCTGGGCAGAAGAGCAAAGCAGAAAAGACAAGGAAAGATAAAGAAGGAAAAAAAAGCAGAGAGAAGGAGAGAGGATGTGAGAGAGCAAAAGGAAGGAAAAGCATGAGGTGCAGGCTGCCCAGACAGCCAACTGTTGGACCTGTTCTCTCTTAGCGCGATACTTGATCATCACTGGGCCAAACCTTGGAGGCTGTTACCTTCACTGTCTCCTGTCTGCCCTGAAATCCTGCT